GTATTCTGTATCTTCCTTTGTGAATTGTCTGGTTAGGTCTTTTGCCCATTTTTTAATTGGTTTGTCTTATGATTAAGGTGCAAGATTTTGTATATTCTAGATATGAGTCTTTTAACAGGTATATGTTCTGCAAATATCTTCTCCCAGTCTATTGCTTGTCTTTTGTCTTAATGGTGTCTTTTGAAGTGCAACAGTTTTGAATTTTGATGACGTTCGACTTTTAATTTTGTCTGTCAGTGTAGTTTAGTTTACATTTCTCTTATATGTGTGAGGTTGATGTTTTCATATGTTGAACATCTTTTATTATGTTTCAAATCCATTTGGATTTTCTTTTCTGAGAACTGTCTGTTCATATCTATTTGCTGTTTTTTTTTTATATTGGGCAATTGATCTTTTTCTTATAGAGCTGTAGGAGTTCTTTATATGTTAGAAAAATGATCTCTTGTCTGTGATACTCATTACCAGTAATTCTCCCATGTGTCAACTGTCACTTGTCTTTGTCAGTGTCGTTTTTCTCAAGCAGGTCAAAACATTTTTTATATTTTATTTTATTTTTTGTCCTTTTTGAGACCGGCTGCACCGCGCTCAGCCAGTGAGCACTGTGAGCGAACCGGTCATCCCTATATAGGATCCAAACCCGTGGCGGGAGTGCTGCTGCGCTCCCAGCGCTGCACTCTCCCGAGTGCGCCACGGGCTCGGCCCCAAAACATTTTTTATGTAGGTGAATTTATCAATTCTTTCTTCTATGACTCCTGGGTTTGCACCACAGTTAGAAAGGGTTTTTCCCATTCTGAGGTTATGACATATTTCTTTCCTGGCTTCTTCTAGTCTTTTTATGTTTTTGTTTTGTTTTACATTTAAATCTTGTATAACTTACTCAAATAGCATTTATGAGTCAAAGGACATACACATTAAAATTTTTATATTTACTTGGTCCATGTCCCTTAAAATATGTCATGCTAATTTGTGTATCCCGTAGCAATGTATGAGAGTAACTTTTTCCCACATGCACACCAACTCCAGTTATTATCATGGTGAAAATTTTTACTACTCCTATAGGTGAAAAGAGATATAGCAACTTTATTTTATATTTAAATTTCTTTGCTAGTGAGTTTTAGAAAATTTCTATTGGGGTGTTCAGATTTTTCTTATTATTTTCTAAGAACTCTTTATGTATGGAAGATACCCATCATCACATATGTTCGCAAACATTTTCCTCAGTCTGTCATATGACTTTAATTTCATTTATACTTTTTTTTGCCATTTGAGTTTTCTGTAATCACATGTATCAGACTATTCTCTTTATGATGTCTGCCTTATAAAATTATTCCCAGCCTATTCTCTTTATGATGACATGCTTATAAAACTATTCCTACCCTCTGATTATTAAATATTCAAACAATTTCTTCTGGTAATTTCTAGTTTAATATTTTTACATGTAAATATTTAATTTATCTGTAATTTATTTTGTGTGAAGATACTTCAAAAAGTTCATGGAAAGATTTGTATATCTTTCAGTTCTATTTTTCCACAAACTTTCTGAAGTACCCTCATATAATAAGAGAAGATCTACTTAACTTTGCCACATGGCGAGTCAGTTGTTCCAGCATTTACTGAATAGTCCGTCCTTCCCCACTTATTTGAAATGTCATCATTATATCACTAAATTCCAATTCATAGCTGAATCAGTTTCTGAGCACACTGTTCTAAACTTAGTCTACTTGGGTTTGAATCTCAGCTCCACAACTTACTAACTGTAAATTTGGCCAAACTGCTTGATCTTTCATAGATTAGGAGGATTAAATGAGTTAATTTACATAGAGTACTTTGTATAGTACCTGGTACAGAATAAATGTTATCTGTTATTTTTGTTGTTGCTATCTATTTTTTCCAACATCGTGATGTTTTAATTACTCTATGATTTGATTTATATCAATAAGGCAAGTTTCTCATCATTATAGTTCTTTTTCAAAAACTTTTTGGATATTTCCATGCATTCGTTCTTCCAGGTAAACTTGAAAATAATTATGTCAATAAAAAATTGTTTTGATTTTAATTGGAATTGCATTAACTGCATAGAATAATGGAAAGATAATGTGTATTTGTACCTTACTGAGTCTTTCAATCCAGGGAAACAATCCCTCAGTCTATTTGTTCAAGTGTCCTCTTTTTTCTTCATTGGGGAGACAAGCCTGTGTGCTTGACCCTGAGGGCTCACGTGGGGGAGCACAAGACATCGAGGGGGACTGTGGGGTCAGTAGTGCTGAGGCTGTGAGATCCTGACCTACAGCTAGGTTTTTACTGCTGCATACTGCTTCATGTGACTTAACTAGTTCCCTATTAGAGAATATCGGGCTGTTTGCTTCTGTCAATGCTGTAAACAATGAATAGCTTTTTCAGTCATCCATGGTGGAGATCAGCAAATTACAGCACATGGGCCAGATCTGGCCTGCTGCCCATTTCGAAATGAAGTTTTATTGGAACACAACCGTGACCACTCATTTCCATATTGTCTGTGGCTGCTTTCATACTTTAACGGCAGAGTTGAGTAGTTGTGGTAGAGAATGTATGTTCCACAGCCTCAAATATCTATTACTTGGCCCTTTACGGAAAAAGCTTGTTGACCTCTGATCTATGGCAACTTGCCTTATTATTATGTCTTTGGTATAACTTACTCAAATAGCATTTATGAGTCAAAGGACATACACATTAAAATTTTTATATTTACTTGGTCCATGTCCCTTAAAATATGTCATGCTAATTTGTGTATCCCGTAGCAATGTATGAGAGTAACTTTTTCCCACATGCACACCAACTCCAGTTATTATCATGGTGAAAATTTTTACTACTCTTATAGGTGAAAAGAGATATAGCAACTTTATTTTATATTTAAATTTCTTTGCTAGTGAGTTTTAGAAAATTTCTATTGGGGTGTTCAGATTTTTCTTATTATTTTCTAAGAACTCTTTATGTATGGAAGATACCCATCATCACATATGTTCGCAAACATTTTCCTCAGTCTGTCATATGACTTTAATTTCATTTATACTGCTTTTTTTGCCATTTGAGTTTTCTGTAATCACATGTATCAGACTATTCTCTTTATGATGTCTGCCTTATAAAATTATTCCCAGCCTATTCTCTTTATGATGACATGCTTATAAAACTATTCCTACCCTCTGATTATTAAATATTCAAACAATTTCTTCTGGTAATTTCTAGTTTAATATTTTTACATGTAAATATTTAATTTATCTGTAATTTATTTTGTGTGAAGATACTTCAAAAAGTTCATGGAAAGATTTGTATATCTTTCAGTTCTATTTTTCCACAAACTTTCTGAAGTACCCTCATATAATAAGAGAAGATCTACTTAACTTTGCCACATGGCGAGTCAGTTGTTCCAGCATTTACTGAATAGTCCGTCCTTCCCCACTTATTTGAAATGTCATCATTATATCACTAAATTCCAATTCATAGCTGAATCAGTTTCTGAGCACACTGTTCTAAACTTAGTCTACTTGGGTTTGAATCTCAGCTCCACAACTTACTAACTGTAAATTTGGCCAAACTGCTTGATCTTTCATAGATTAGGAGGATTAAATGAATTAATTTACATAGAGTACTTTGTATAGTACCTGGTACAGAATAAATGTTATCTGTTATTTTTGTTGTTGCTATCTATTTTTTCCAACATCGTGATGTTTTAATTACTCTATGATTTGATTTATATCAATAAGGCAAGTTTCTCATCATTATAGTTCTTTTTCAAAAACTTTTTGGATATTTCCATGCATTCGTTCTTCCAGGTAAACTTGAAAATAATTATGTCAATAAAAAATTGTTTTGATTTTAATTGGAATTGCATTAACTGCATAGAATAATGGAAAGATAATGTGTATTTGTACCTTACTGAGTCTTTCAATCCAGGGAAACAATCCCTCAGTCTATTTGTTCAAGTGTCCTCTTTTTTCTTCATTGGGGATTTGTCAATATAGTTCTGTACAATTAGTCAGTATAATTTCTTGTTAAATTTATTGAGTTTTCTAGGAAGATATTCACATAATCTTAAAACAATGATACAATTATCACTTCTCAAATACTTTCAACTCCTTTTTTTTTTCTTACTGCCTTTGTTAAAACTTCCAGAGAAATATTAACTAATAGTGCTGGTAGCAACTATTCTTTTCTTGATTTTCACTTTTAATGGCAGTGCCTCTAAGGCTTCATTATTGAGCATAATGCAAATCTTCTCTTGGTTCCTATTACACTGTGAGGTTAAGAAGCCTTCCTATTTCTAGTTTAGTAAGATATTAAAAAGATAGCTTTAGATGTCAATTTCATCAGATGCCAATGGAGCATCTACAGAAATGCTCAAATGTTGTTTCTCTTGTACAACATTAGGAAGGCAAGGACCTGGGTCTTGACAGATGACCAAGAATTAAGCAGAGGGGCACCTGGGGCTGAGGGAGTGCAGGACTTATATGAAGGCCCTGAAGGTGTTGCAGCATGAGATACAAGGGGGATGGTGAGGGGAGGGTGGCATCAGCGCCCTGATGATGTGGGGGCAGGACATGGGACTGAGAGGAGGGTGCAGGACTTATATGAAGGCCCTGAAGGTGTTGCAGCATGAGATACAAGGGGGATGGTGAGAGGAGGGTGGCATCAGCGCCCTGATGATGTGGGGGCAGGACATGGGACTGAGAGGAGCGCAGGGACCGGAACACAAAGGGTTCCTGAAATCAAGCTGCTCAGGATTCACTAAGAAAACTGATGCTTCACATGTCATCACATTTCTTTCAAAGTCAAGACAGAAATAAGGATAAATTCATTTTGAAATAAATTTGAAAGCATATACATTGAACACCCAAGAGTATTTCCACATAAATATTTGTGGGAAAATAACCAAGACCTAATAACACTATGCACCCATTAATGTTAAAGTTTAAATATATGTGATTAGGATATATTTACATTTTATTTTTCAAGCATATTTGTACCTGTTGTGGGGTCTTGTTAGTAAAAATAATAGCTGAACCACCTTCTTCTACTTCAGGGTACTCAGGAAATGTGCCAGTTAAATTCCTGCAGAGGGAAAAGAAGCAAATTAAAAGAGATACAAACGAAGCCCTCTCTCTTCTATACTCCATCAGTTGGTTTGTTCATGTTCACGAGAATGACTGATGGTTATTAAGGGTGCGGATTCTCTGCAGACCCAGGGCCGGACACAATGTCTTTAAGGAGCAGAAGGAACTGGGTACATTCAGTAGCAGGTTTCCTTCCTCTAGAGAATTGTTAGCCTGAGACAAACATTCTTTCTTTAAAACAGATTGTACTTCCTCCCTTAAAAAAAAAAATTGAGATTCTCTGTGCCTGAGTTAAGAATGAAGACAGAAGCACAAATCATTTCTTCCTGTTTAAACTTATAATAAACACAGGACTTTAAAACTAAACAAAAGGATGGAATTGTACAAATTACATATTTAGTGATAGTGTATTAAATACACACGCGTGCAAGTCTGGGACTCTGTATTTTATGGGTTCCAAATACTGTACTACTATTTTTCCGTGACCATATAATTTCTATATTTTAAAAAGCAGACTTTGAAATTTGATGTTGAAAATTTCAAAAGGGACATGTACGTAATATTTCTAAGATAAACTGACTTCAACGCAAGTATTATATGAGGGCACTTCAAAAAGTTCATGGAAAGATTCATTTTATCTTTTAATTCTATTTTTCCACAAACTTTTTGCGGTACCCTCATATTTATTCTATATACAGAAAGAAAAGACTACCTGCCAAGTTAGTCTCGTTAATTCACAGAAGTGTAGAATCTAAGGTTTGGAGGAGACCTCCCTGTTTAAAATGAGTCTGTGATGGTGGTTCTCAAAGCTTTGGCCTTAGGAGCTCTTTACACTCTTAATAATTGTTGAGGATCCCAAAGAGTTTTTGTTATGTGAGTTACAGCTGTGTTAAAGAATCTAAGGTTTGGAGGAGACCTCCCTGTTTAAAATGAGTCTGTGATGGTGGTTCTCAAACCTTTGGCCTTAGGAGCTCTTTACACTCTTAATAATTGTTGAGGATCCCAAAGAGTTTTTGTTATGTGAGTTACAGCTGTGTTAATCTAATAGTTATACCTGTCTTAGATATTAAAACTTAGAAATTTCTAAAATACGTATTTTTAATTATTTTAGAATAAGTAATTATCAACCCATTATATGTTAACATAAATAACATTTTTATGAATAATAAATACATTTTATAAAACAAAAAAATTAGTGAGAAGAGTTACTGTATCTTTTCAAGTTTTTTTACTGTCTGGCTTAATGGAAGTTAGCTGGATGCTCACATCTGCTTCTGTGTTAAATCTGTTGTGATACATTGTTTTGGTTGAAGTATAGGAAAAAAATCTGGCCTCACACAGATGTGCAAATGAGAATGGGAGGAATATTTTAATAGCCTTCTTAGGTAACAGTGAATATCCTGCTTAGATTCTATAGCACAATTAGACAAGTGGTAACTTCCTAAAGGCTGGTTGTGATGTGGAATCTGAAACTGTATCAGTGAACTTTCCGCTCTTTGTCACATTTAATCATCGATCTGTTTTGTGTTTTGAATAGATCTTTTACCCATGCATAATTCTGTAACATCAGGTCTTGGTCACTGGAAAATAATGGTTCACTGAGTTGTATGGCTCTTCCCAATGTTGACTCATTTCATCATATCAAAACCCACATGCATCAATGACACCACTGATCTCATAATGAAAAGTCTACGTAATGGGAACCTCTCATACTCACAGGGGTGAATACTGATGATCCAAACTTGTAATTTTTGCTAGAAAGCTCAAATTTTGCCATTGGTAACAAAGGGTGTGAACTATTTTTCTTCAAGCTCATTTGATTCATTTTTCTGTGAAAATGTCTCCCAAAAATCCAAGTCCAAATAACCAGAGTTTGTCAGTTGTTTTCTCAAGTAAAAATGACGTTCCATTAAAAATTGGCTAGTTCAGATTGAAACTTAACAATCTCAGCAATGTTTTTCCTCAAGACAATTATCATACTCTGCTGTGCAGAGGAATGGATTTATGAGCACTTCTGATTTTATCACATAGAATACTAAAAAGTCAAGTCTTAATAATTTTACAGGGTCCCCAAGGATGTTGCCAAGTGAAACTTTTTAAGAAGCAGGTGGTGGTGGTTAAGACCACGATGACTGCACTGAGGCCACCCCCCTGGTTCCCACTGAGGTCCCAGCAACCTTATGCCCTACTGCTTTTGCGCCATCGTTGCAAATGTCAACAAAGTAAAAATGGCAAGTCATGTCTTAGTATTCACATGAAAATAGTTTTTGGATTCCCTGAAAGGGTCATGGAGACCCCAGGGGTCCCAGACACACTTTGAGAACTGCTGCTCTACGACATCTCCCTGGGCCACTGCTTAAGCACCTCCCGTGATGCCAGCTCACACTCCCCGAGGCAGCCCCTGCACTGCCGATTCCTTTCTGACACAGGACCCACTGGACCTCCCTCCCTGGGTCCTTGTTTCACCCTCTGGGGACAAACAGAACTTGATTCTCTTCCTCTTCCGTGTGATTGCTCTTCAGACATTCTAAGACAGTTGAGACATGGTCTAGACGGAATATCTCAGGTGTCTCGAACTGTCCCCGCGGGCTTATTCCCCAGGGACGTGACCCAGCTCCTCAGCATTGCTTTGAAAGGAACTGAACACAACAGTGTGGGGAAGTCTGAGGACAAATGCTCCAGCAATGAGGATGGCAGGAGGTCACACACTATGTGTGTCATTCTGTCAAAAGAGCCACAATCACAGGAGTGATGTTGGTGGCCTCACTCACTCGTTCGTCCACCCATCTCTTCATTCATATAGTCAATCGACAAGCATCTGTGTAGTGCCAACCAGATTAGGGATGCAGAGATGGGAGACAGATCTGAGATGAAAAGATGCCAGGCACTGCCCCTGTGCAGCTCACATTCCACAGTCACACGGCTGATGCGAGTATTTTACCCCAGATGCTGCCTGTCCATGAGACTCGCTCAGACCTTGTCAAGCTGTTTGATCCTGTCCTGTGTCAGATCTGCCTAGACAAGTCTTGGATAAAACTATGAATACACTTGGACTAAAAAATGACAGTCTTTTCTTCACACCCACTCATACTATTCTATCAGTCATCTCCTTTACAAGCAACTCTATGGTAGGTATTTATTTTCATATCGTAAAGCTTGAGTGTTTTTGAGGACTCAAAACAGACAGTGACATACATAAAAAAGAATTTACATATGCCATTTCTATGAAATTCTTTTTTTTATTTTTTCCTTTTTGTCTTTTTTCGAGTCCGGCAACAGATCGCAACCCTCAGTGTCACACCCGTACCGGGCCGGGACCGGCAACGGAATCGCAACCCTCGGTGTCGCGCCTGCACCTCGCTCAGCCAGTGAGCGGGAACCGGTCTGTATGTGGGATCCGAACCCTCGGCGGGAGCGCCGCCTGGCTCCCAAGCGGCGCACTATAGCAGTGTGCCACCGGGCCGGGCCCTCTATGAAATTCTTAATTATAGAACATCCATTGTCATACTAACATTTAATAATATATTTTTTCACAGTATTTTTAGCAAAAGTGGTGTTAAATGTTATTTTTAATAAATAGATAAATGAACATATTTAGTTGTCCTTAGTCACGTTAGTTTATATAATTAGTCAAAATCTGAAAATGAATTAGTCTTATCCTTAAAGAATGAAAAAACTGTTGTAGGGTACACATTTAAAAATGTTTTAAAATTTGTATCTAGAGAATGACAGTGTACCGGGTAGCTCTTTATTACACACACACGCACATGCGTGCGCGTGCATGTGTGTGCTGCCCCTTTCTCGTGCTCACTCCACTCCCGCTGTCCCGTGTGGGTGGCCAGGACACCACTGTTCCCACAGCAGTTGGACTCCTGCTTGGTGCTATTCCAGGGCACCCTAGGTCTGCACTGATTGGAAGTCTCTCCTCAGCCCCTTGGACTTGGTCACTTAGCGTATGCTAAAAACCCCAGTATTTGGAGTTCTATTTTGCATTTCTGAGATTTCACCCTCGGCTGTAGGATTCCCTGCCCCCTATGCCCCCATTTTCAGCTGTGTCCTGTGGCACACAGGGCCTCCTCGGAATCGAGGCACAGCTGCTCCTGCTGCGTGTGGTAGGGGAGCTGCAGGGCGGTGAGTGTTTTATGCCTTGGGCTCAGCCCCCTGGAGGAGGTGTAAGAGCTTCAGGGCAGAGATGGCTGATAATCAGAGATGAGTGAACAGAAAATATTATCTTGGCTCCCAGGGTGTTTCCGGTGCACACAGCTGGGGCCTGACAGCACTGCCTGCAGGTGACGGCCCATCTGGGAACTTCCCCAGGAGTAACTGAGGACTCCAAGTTACTTGATGTCAGGAAGACAGCGCTTCTGATTAAAAGTGGAAACCAAACAACCTGCTTTTTGTTGGAATTTGATCCCTCTGAGCCTCCCTCTCCCCCTAACAGGCACTTAGTCCCGTCTTTGTTTTCTGTGGTCCCAGATCGCTGGAGAGGTGGAGGCTGTCCTTCCACCTGGACACTTGGACATGTGCTCGCCACCCACGATGTCTGGAACCTGCAGGCCGAGTCCTAGAGCATCCGCTGCCGTGCTCAGGGCTGACAGTCCTGTGAGCGGCGACATCTTCCAAACTACTGGAAAGGCCTCTACAGCCACACGCCTCGGGCTCAGCCGTCGTCTGCCTGAGCGTGTCCCAGGCAGGGAGGGGGCCACTGACTCCTGGAGTTGATTCCTCCCCCTCGGCTGCCCCCACGAAGACCGGCCTGGCTCTGGGTCTCCTGCCTCCTCACCCCCCAGCCCGCAGGGTCCTTTCATCCTTCCGTCCTCCCTCCTGCCTGGACACTGCTCTGAACTGTAAAGATGCTCAGGTCTGTCTCATGTAGCAGGTACTCATGACCCCGGAGCCTTCGTCCTCCCCCAGCCTCTCACTTCTCTCTCTGGTCTCCTTCACAGCAAGGGCTCGGAAGAGTTGTTCACACTCACTGTATCCATTAAAACACTCTCA